CTGAATGACTTACACCTAAAAGTTGAGCAGGAAAATCACCATACTGTTCACTTTACTTGTTGGACAAATCTCTACAAAGTCTAAGAAGCCATCCTACAACTACTTGTAACAGAAGAGTCTCAAGATCCTCAACTTCAAAATCACAGCCTTTGCCACCTTAGTTAAAAGAGCCATCATACACGCCCAAAAAATTTGAGCACATCAAACAAATAGCAAAATAATATGGATATCACTCAAGTATGATCAATGGGTTAAATACCCTCAAAGATTGTAGATTTAATACCAAGTTAGAGTACATAGATGCAAAGCTGTACTCCCACAATGTGAGATTAAAGGAACACAAAGCAAACAAAAGAAAAAGGGAACCCACTACTACAGTAATGTCTATGCCATGGACAATGATACTGCAGTAAACATCAGAGACCAAACTCCTACAGTAAAACCAGCATGGGATTGCAGTAAACCTAAAGCAGTTAAAAGACTTCAGATCTGCAAATGATCACAAAGGAAGAGCAATCAATTACAAAGATGTTGAAACAATCTCAAGTGTGTGGAAATCAAGCCACAAATACCCTAACTTTGATCCAATATACGACAGTTGGCTCGTTTCTATAGTATATTACTTTCTATATACTTATTCTTATGTAATGTTTCTAAAATTAGTATTCTATTTTATATTTGAACACCTGGCATGAAATTGGAAGAATAATTCTCTATAATAAATTTATATACATATACAGCAGTATCTCATACTTCAAACACTAACTTTGACAAAAATTCACCTTGGGGTTCGAACTGCACAGTGAAAAATGCACTCAAAATGTAAAATGATCTGTTGTGCATCCAAGTTGTCTCTCGCTCTTCTGTTACATTCTGTGGCGACAGCTTTGGCGATAAATTCCAAAGCCGCCACAAGGGGGAACCCCTGACCTGACCTATGACATCACACACATTCTTGTTGGATTTGGACCTCTCCAGACGTGTGTAGTAACACCTCGTGTTTTAACCTGTACAGTCGCGCCATAATTCATATATAGAATAAATGATAATCTTTTATTGTATGTGGCCCTGTTTGTAATGAGTAATTTCACACGAACTGGTGACCACATTCATACATTTTTTCAGTAATATTATGAGTTTATTTTCGGTGGGTTTGGATGAATAACACCCACTATAATACAGTACATTGTGTGTTATTCGTTGATTTTTGACAATTTCTTCCTGTAATTTTTCTTTGCTAACATCCGTATATTCTGTATCCTTTAGTTCAAAATTTCTCGAATGGTACTTTTTTAATCTTCAAAGTTTAGTAGCATCTTCCCCATACACATTACAAATTGCTTTTATTGTTTGTATGATGTTATATCCTTTCCTAAATTCATAAAGCAAATGCCCAATATACTTTTATCTGAAGGCATTTCAACTTGATGTTATTCAAACAAAATGTGAAAAATAAGTTTAAAATAAACATTTAAACAAAAAATACAATCCCACATTAGCAATAATGTGAGATTATATTCTTTATAATTGAATGTTATAATTATATCACATATCTATGTTACGTAACAACAGCTGTTAATAATACACAAAGACTTTCTTAAAGTTGAACACGATATAACAATTATCTATTAGCCATGACATTTGAGAAGTGTGTGGAAGCAACTAAACCTAAAAGGAAGGTTGTAATATTAACAACTGAGATGAAAAAACAACTTATCACAAAGCCTTGAGAAGAGTATTCAACAAATGCGAGATTACATAGATGTTGAAATGCCAGAACCAATCATATGAGTATAAGTGGGAAAAAATACATCAATCACTATTCCTATATTTTATTTTTCGGAATTTCTATTTGACCAGCATATTTTAATATTTGAAGTGATGCTTACTGACCTCTTTGTTATAATTCTATACAAAAAAGTCTTAAATTTTCTGATCATATCCTATAATAATCTCATGCATGTATTATTAATAGACATCCAATATAAAACATATACTCTTCCACATATCAATCATTAGTCAGTTCAATCAAATACATCAACTAAATTTAAATATGTACAGTACATATATATATTATAGACTATAAATCAAGTAACTTCATTACTAGAAGCAAATTTATAACTGCAAATACGTAAATTTAACTTAAAGCATATCTTGTTAATAAGATACAAAAGTACTTATAAAAAATAAATAAATATAATTCAAACTTTCTAACATCTCCACTGGAGAATATCCAATGATTTAAAATTGATATATTCTGTATGGAATAAGCTCAAATTAATCTATAATCATCCTCAATTCTGTCTATTACATTAATTGCATGAGTCTTATTTAACACAATTTTTTTAATTTTAAATATATAAACTCTGAGTAAATTATGCCAAAGTTCATCAATAGGTATCTGTAAAAATTTTCTAAAATACAAGTTCCATAGAAAATAAATTTTAAATTCCAAGTATCTATAGATATGCCCTGCATAACAATGAGAATATGTTCCAAAAAATACATTGTGTTGTTCTGAATACTTAGACAAACCTTATATGGTAGAGTTTAAACCCTTATAAACTATAAACCCTTATAGGCTATATGTACAGTACACAATGATAAGAACTTAAGTATCTAAACACAAAAAGTATAAGCAGCTATCAATTTTTCAGCTCTAATAATCTTATGGGACCTCTACTATGTATGCAGTCCATACATTAGGTGGAATGTCATTATGTGGTGCTTACCTGTATTTATCAGAATGTACCACATTAGTAAGTAAATTTTACTTACTAATATGGTGCATTAAACTTTTAAAGCAATTTTCTAATAACCCATAAAAATTTGTCAATAAAGTTCCTTAGAAATAAGTTTATAATTAAAATAAGTTTTAATAGATGAGTTTTAAGCTTTATTTACTAAAAAGTATAAATAACAGAATAAATAGCAACCCAGTTACTGAACTCCTTTAATGAACAAGCATTTTCCTAATGGAAAAGTCAATTAATTAGAATGAATTTACTATATATATATATACAGAATCTGATCATTATAGTATACACATAATTAAACTGAATTATATATTTTATAACAATAAATAAAGGTTATATTCATATTTGTATTAAACTTTGATAATTTACTACATCAATAACTACAAAAAGTTTGTCAATGAAAGTCCACTAGAAGCATCAGCAGTTCACAAAGTTGTCAATCTGCAAACCACTTAAACCGAGTCACAAATGAACAGCAAACCATGTATGCCCTTGTCCATTTCTTATTCTGTAAATATCATCATAGATTATGATAGAATGTTCACCAAAATATTACATCTATCCAGTAATTTAAGAGATGGTGTGTGAAAATGTTCTTTTCTCTGGAAAAACAGCATAGAATTGAAGTTTGGAAAAATGACTATCGGCTCTATTCATTAACAAAGAGTCTAAGTCGATCAATTGGCATTCATTTTACACTAAGTACAAGAGTTACGATCAGTCACCTTAAACTTGGACTCTTGACTCTGTCGGCAAATATAGCCGTAGGTTGGTCTTCGGACCATCTGACACATGTTCGTGCTTCTCAGATCATACTTTGAGAATCACTGCTTTACTCTTTAAAAAGCTAGACATATTCACAATTAACAGAACAAAAAAAATGTAGATCTGAACAAGATAGCTGTATGCCGTGCCGATAGAAATAAAAATTGTCAAAGAAACCATACCTCTCTACACGTGATCTTTTGCAACACATAGTCCCCTGAAATCAACCTACTTCCAGGTGCAATCAGCGGTCACACCACATACTCCACTAAGCCTATCATATACTCAACAGAACACAGCATGGTAGTCAAACATCATAATGATATTTATCAGTAAAGAATAAAGAAAAGTCTAACACGTGACCCTTTACAAGATATACGCATCCAAATGCCCCAAGACGACAGTTCTGGTTGCCATCTCACTCACAGACGTCACGTTTGCTAGTGAATAAACATAACTCGCTTGCAAACATATGCCAACTGGTGCCCATAACAAATAATATATGCATTAACTTCTACAGACCAAAAACAGTTTTTACCTTAAACTGGCACAACCACATTCTCCATCCTCCATGTCGGTCGACGTGAGCCGTCGCTCACTTCGATGAAAACAAAACATGTAATCCAACACCACCATCGGCACCCAAACAGGACAAGCCTCCTACCACAAAACTACACAGCATCAAGTATTCCGCAAACAGTCAAGCGGGCCATTCAAAGCCGACACAGTCATGCGAGCCAAGTCGTTAAATGCAATGGTCTTGGAGTCATGCTACGAAAGTAGGCCAATTTCTGGATGGCTATATCTTGCAAACGGTCGCACGTAGGAGTAAGGTTTCTTTGGCCATGCCCGTAGGAGCAAAAACTCCCGCAAGTACGGTCTATATCTCCGTTAAGGTCCCGACGGCGTCATTCAAGATCCCGCAATCGGACCGTTCACGGCACAACTGCAGACACTACTCCAAAATCAACCAAGGGATATAAATCCCTCGTTCACAACTAAAATTTTACCATTTACATAAACAAAGAATACATTTTTAACCGATAAATTACGTCTGCTACGTTCTTTAACGCAAAGAACTCGTGAAATCTCGTTTGATCTAGTTATTTAGGTGGAGGTTATACTCGGGTCATTTGTTTACACGCGCATATGTAAAGAAACACCTAAACGTTACTTCTACCAAAATAATCAATTACACACGTGTAACCGATAACGTAACCATCCGAGCGCATAAAAGGACCGATGATACCTTAAACATTACGTTAACCTATTGTTTGAATTTTGAATTTTAAACGGAATGCGTCACAAAAGAGAAAATACGATTCTATTTAAAAAAAAAAAAAAAAGAAACGCAAAACCCTTTCAAGCTATAATTATTTAAAATCCGTTGGGATATATTCAATTTATCTCAATACGCATGTCTACGGATTGGAGTAAATTAATAAATTCGTCCGACTGATTTAATAATTGTTAACTTACCTTTAGGCATTTCTAGTAAAGGAGTTTTATTTTTTAGAAAAATCACCACCGAACGACAACTTACGCTTTCTGATGAAATCGACTTTTACCAACTGCCACTCGTTTCAGACTGAGAAAAATAGCCAAATTTTCTTTTATTCATTAATTTAATTTTTGTTGAATAATTCGTGAAATTTTAATACGTTAATTTATTTAATAATTAAATTAATATTTTAATTACTTTAAAAGTAGCTTTAAAAAAAAATTATGCAGTTGGTCGAGACGGCCGCTCTGGGGGACCCGGAATCGAATCTCGGAGAGCGAAGAACGTCGGGAATTTTTTTTAAACTTTTTCCGCCCTGTGGGCACTAAGAGGGCCTCTTTTAGCGAGCCTATTATGGGTTCGGCCTGGCCCACAATGGGGCGACCGGGTGGTGAGGGACGGGGCCCGACATATTCAAACGGAACACTCCCCAAAAATTTCCTGAGGATTTTTCGACCCGTCTGGATTCGATCCCGGGTCCCCAGAGCGATAGGTTGCTACCTTAATCGATCGGCCATCCGGGCCGATGGATTGGGTTAGATTTACAATTGACCAATTTTTCGGGGGGTTTTTGACCCTGGGTTCCTAACAGAGATAAGATACTACCTAAATCGCTCGGTCATTTGGTCTTTCCCGAATATGTCGGGTCAAGTCCTCCACTATCTGGTCGCTCCCATAGTGGGTCTAGACGAACACACCATAGATTAAATGTGGTAAGATAACGTAACGTACGAGCGATCAGACAAGGGTGAGTGCCTCCCGGGAGGGTTTTTCTATAGGAAATTGGCCTTTGTTTAAATTTGCTTTTAAATTAGTAAAACATTATAAATATAAAAGCAAATCTTAAAATAATTCCAAGACGTTTAAATATTATTAAGAATTCTTCATCGAATTTCACGAAATATTACAAAGCGTATGAAATATATTACTTTATAAATAACTAGCTGCAAGTAACCGCTTCGCTGGGTTTTTATTTGTTCGTACATTTATATGTAATATAGTTTTTTTTAATATATATTGTGGGGACCGAGGGGGACAAATAAAAAAAATACAATGAACGATAATATGTGATATATATCATCGTCGTCTCCCTTGCCGTTTGGACTGCCGAGCGGTAACAATCAACGACATGTGGAAGCAGTTGAGTCAGAGATTGATGCTTCGTTTACAAACAACACAACCGTTTATTTAACACGAAAGAAGCTTACAAGATTTCCGCGATCTTGGAAGTTCTGCGGCGGCTGCGGCCTCTGGGTCTTCCTCTCCTTTCCATTTTGAAGGAGTGTCCCTTGTTCGCGAATGAACCATTCCATCACGTCTCGACGACTCCGGGACGATGCGGTCGACTTCCTTGATGGAAAGATGTCGATCGGAGGTCGGGAGATGGAGACGAAGGTGGATGCGAGACACACACACACAACAACAGATCAGTCACTTGGAACTTTTGGGAGAAGAAACCCTCACGTCCTTGAATTTCCGGAGTTTTATCCGTTTTCTCTCAGATTCCCCTTTCCGATTGTCTCTCCTCGTCACCTGATGACAATTCGAAACCTTTCGGGGGCGCGGAAGAGGTCAAAATCGAAGTTTAATTCGATCTCCAACCGGAAATGGTCGACGGACTTACATTCTTCTATTGTTTAAAAGTTAGCGTCGCGTTTTCATAAAATAAAAATATATTTCTAACTACTATATTATTTTCTTTAAAACAATTACTTTAAGGGTGCGACTATGCAGACGCGAATTTAGAGCGAGCGAGAGGTTGCGAGAGATTTAGTTTTCGCAAAGGAAAACCATGCACAAACGAGAAGCGAGAAATAACGCTAGCGGGAGCGAATTTCTGGTTCTCGCACATATCTGACAGGTTTTGATATTTATCGCGTCTCGCCTCTTCTCGCCACATATTATCGCTCGCTTGCGTCTGCATAGTCGCAGCCTAACGCGAATTTTAGTAAGGGTTCGGACCTGTCCAGAGCCTCACATATATAAAAGACTAAAAATCTCTTTCTCTACATAATCTTTCTCTGATTCGATGTTTTCCTATAATTTTCAAGTTGCTCTTCTGTCTGATTATTTCTGTTTCGATATGATTCGAGACCGCAAAAATTCTTTCTTACACTTTAACATTGTTTTTTTATATTTTTACTTTTCACACTTCACTTTTCACTTTCTACTTTTTTCTGTTATTGGTACACTTTTACTCATGAAAAATCAACTGTAGCATGTGCGTCACGCGTCTCCAAAAGCCATCCCCACTACTCACACATAACGGTCCTCTACTATTCCAAAACATTTTTGACTATTCGAAAACATTTAAGATTAAGATTAAGATTACATTATAGCCAATCTTATAAGAATGTAAGAATTAGGTCCCCGTTTCCAGATTAATTAGAGAATTTTTACATGGGTCTAAATATATGTTCGATTTCCCGAAAAAACTCCAAAAAACGCATCTGCACCTGTAAATCTTGCACGCCACTTTATCTTTGTTACTCAACACTTCCATTGTTACACATTTTAGAAGTCAACCACTTTCAACTCCCATATCTCCCACACCCTTATAGCTATCGAGACGCAACCACCATAGTGCACGATGGGAGACTTGGGGCTACTACCACATACAAACACCATTCGTGTGCGATGTGTAGTTTTGGCTGCAGAGTGAAATATAGGGACAAACACGTCCGTTTATATATATATATGTTACAGTCAAAACCCGTTTTTAGTTAGAACGCGTTTTAACTAGTTGAAACTAGTTTATACTGAATGTCTTTGTTAAAACCCGTCTTGTCTAGTTAAAACTAGTTTTAACTCAAATTTATTTTTGACTAGCAGTAAATTCTAGTTTTAACTAGACAAAATGGGTTTTAACAAAGATATCCAGTATAAACTAGTTTTAACGCATCCTAACTAAAAACTGGTTTGACTGCAACGCATAGAGTGATTTGGGGTAAGATGGTAAGCGGGGGAAGATGCCTAATTTTTGATATTTTCAAACGGTGACGTCACATATTGTCATGTATTTGTATGATGAATCGTTGGGCCAATATTGAGTGCGGAAAGCTGTAGTTGGCTACCGTTACTTCATTTTCTACATCCGAGAAGAATAAAAGCTAGATAAGAACGAAGTTTTTGTTGTGAAATGTTTCTAGAATAATTTTAAACTAAAAGTTAAAATGGAATTTATTAAAAATTGCTAAAAACAATTAATGTGTGATGTAGTTAAGGTTCTAAAGTTTCCATTGTCAGCTACCGCCGATCCCGATCGGACATGCTGGAGCACGTGACTCTACTAGGCATCTTACCCCAACAAATGGAAAATATGCCACATTTTTCTTGGGGTAACGTGCCTATTTTTTGTTAATTGATTTCCAATATGCCTATTTTTAATAAACTTTTGTTTTCTCGTTTTATTGCAGGATATGCATAGAAATTATATAAGGACTTCTCAAAAAAGTTTTTGGACTGAAAAAAGCTTTCAGCTAGCTATAGAACACGTTAGAACGGGCGGAAACTTAACAATACTTATACTGTGCTGTTATACTTACTATGAAGTACTTTGTACTACATATGCAATAAATTAAATTTGGTTAAGAAATTCAAAAATTAATTTTAAGCAATTATATTTGTTATCTTACCCTAATGGCATTTGGCATCTCACCCAGATACTTGGGGTGAGATGCTTAAAATGCCAGACAGTGAAAAAGTCGTCATTGCAAACACAGTATAGAATTTTTTAAAATAAACTCCAAACTTTTATTTGAAAGACATACTCCAGAATATGATATTTTCATTAGAGGGCTCCTAAACTCAAATTAGCGCTGTAATTTTCTTCATAAGCAAAATGTTAGGCATCTTCCGCCGAATCACTATACATAACTTTATTTCCCCCAAACATATTTATGTAGCTAAAATTAGTTTTAACTAATGTTAAAAGTTAAAACTAGTTTTATCTAAAGTCAAAACATGTACAGCAGTAAATTAACTAGACAAAACCGGTTTTGTCTAGTTAAAACTAGAATTTACTGCTAGTCAAAAATGAATTTGAGTTAAAACTAGTTTTAACTAGACAAAACGGGTTTTAACAAAGACATTCAGTATAAACTAGTTTCAACTAGTTAAAACGCGTTCTAACTAAAAACGGGTTTTGACTGTAACATATATATGACGTTAATCGTGCGCGTCATTGTTGGCGTCAATTATAGAATGCACATTTGTGCTAATTATTAATGAAACAACAATACAAATGCAATTGTTCTTTGTTCCAGCCATTTTCAGCATTTTTGCAATTATCCTGAAAACAAAATTTGGCCTGGTTTTATTTTAAAATATAATAATAATAATAACAAAACGTTTATTCGTTATTAGTAAATAATTATTTTTAAATATTGTGGGCCCGCCTTTGGTCTTAATTTAATAAATGCTTTCAATTGTTTAGGCGTGTTTTATCTGTACTACCTATCAGCAGACTATAAAACAGAGGGGCACAAGCTATAAAAAAGGGCAGCATACACTATGCAAGAAGCTTTAAACCTAGGGTTGGAAACTGGCTGCCCGTTAAGGCTTCATATCCGGTTCGCGGCTTTAATTTCTTTTCTAAAACTTAATATTTGTAACATTTTGCAGGGATTGAAACAGAAAAATTCAAACGACTAACTACTTATATAAGTCGTAAAGGCCTGGTTGCACGTGGACCTAATTGCAGCTGGGGCTAACTTGGTCATAAAAAGAAGAAATGTTCCGTGTTTTCAATGCTAAGTTGCATGGGACAATAGGCAAATAACGTCCGTTAGTTTCTTTTGTATTTGTGCAATAAGCTAGAATTCATGAATTTTCTGCAGTTTGTTTAATAATGGAATTTGGGCCACACCCCATATTAGAAAAAGGGCAACACAAATGAAAAGAAGGCACGTGCCCTAATATACGGGAGCCCCTTCTACCCATGCTTGCATTAATGTTATTTTTCGATTAAGGTAACGTAACACATGGACAATCTGCCAAAAGACAATGCCACACCCGAAAGGACAATTATGGGAAACTGGCCATTATTTGTTAGACACGTGAAGAAAACATGGAAAACCCTATGTGGCCAAAATGCAACTAATCTGTGTTTAATAATTTTATCCATTCGATTACAGGTGGGCCATTTAATGCTGTTTTTAGACTATCCTTAGTTGTAATGTTCAATGTTACGAAATTTATCCCCAATTTTGACGACGTTCTTTCTAAAAACAGTTGCAATTTCATATTGATTTATTCACGTACTGTACATAGTTATTCGGAAATTTTTTTAAAATCTTAATCTTTGACTATATTTTACCTGACCCATACAGTAGAACCTCGAAAACTCGGCCTAATGTGGACCGAAGGGTGGCCGAGTTTGTGAAAATGCCGGGTTATCAGGAATGGGGTTAAAAAAGGATAAGTATGCGTGTTTCCTCAGAAAATACTGTACTGTACTTGTATGTATTGTTTGCTTGAGAATACAACAGAGAATAAACTGCCCAAATACCCTTAAACAAAGGAAAAGTACGTACTTTATGAAGGCATAGCCTTTACTACATGAAAATGAGCCTTTACTACATGAAAATGAAAATTAATGAATACACTGTGTACAGTAATTTACCTGATAAGACAGACTTCAGAAAAATACTTTATGAGAGCTTTTATATACTTTTTTTTATACTTTTATAAAGCTGTCTATAATGAAAATTAATTAACTAAGGATTTTTTTTGCCCTGCCAGGATGTGGCCGAGTTATCCGGAGTGCCGGGTTATCGAGAGCCAAGTTTTCGAGGTTCTACTGTACTCGTCTTCTACAGCTTAATCGGGCCCAAATCAGGTGATGAGGCGATAGACGTAGTTGCTGAGGACCCAATATAAATGTTTTTTTGTTTTGTTTTTTACTTTCTGCTCTATGGGCACTAAGAGGGCCTTTTCATCAAGCATATAGGTATAGCAGGCCCACCTACTGCTGCAGAAAACAACAGAATGAATCCAATTGAGTTAAAAGACCCCAAGAATTTTTTGGGATGGTCCATCCTATATGTTAGGCTTGCACTTTACTACCTCATCACTATTGTGAGCCTGGCTTAATAAAAGGGCCTCTTAGTGCTCACAGAGTGGAGTCAAATATATATATATATACAGTATTTATTCTTAAAAAACTTCTAATTTTCGTTTGTTGGTGTTCAGGAGTTTTATCCACTTGACTACTGTTGGACCTTCTTATGTGTGGATTTTGTGTATATCCCAAAGATGGTCAAAACACAGCAAAGCATCAGAAATCCAGACTAATTGGGGCAGGATCCATCCAATTTTCATTTATTTGTTTGTTTTGTTATGGCAACGCAACATTTGGGCAATCTGCCTAGGAGGGATACCTTCCAGGAGGTCTTTTTAAGGGTAACTGGCCCCTATTCAGGCGTAACAAACGCAGAGAAAACCCAGAAAACTCCACATGGCCAGCCCGTCCTGTCGAGGTGCAAACCCATAACTGAACTCCAATGTTCAGGGAATGGAACTACTTGGCCACTGTTGGGCCTCCAATTTTCAATGTCCAGATTTTTGGATATACATGTAAACTAATTAATATCCATTTTTTAACAACTGAATCTGGATTTTTGACATTTCACTGTAATCTCGAAGTACAGTATAGTCCTGGAAACTCAATTTTCAATAACTCAACATTCTATAAAATTCTTCACCTTCTCAGTCCACATTAAGTTTGCAGGACTCTACTGTACTATAAAAGCTGTTTTGTTTGATGTTTTAACCATTTTGACTCCAATAAAACAGTCTTTTCATGTTTTGTTTCTTTCTCTCTTACCTGAATTCAATATTTTCTGAAAATAAGGCAAGTGAAAAGCATAACATTTCAATTTATTACATAAAATAACTCACAAACTCATATAAATTACAGATATATTTAAAAATAATAAATATTCTTTTATTTAATAACAAATAACTAATTAAATAAAAATTATTCTTTAATTTCCAAACCATTTATGTGGTTTACTAACTTATCACAATATTCTTGAGTGCGATGCCTTTCCTTAACTTTCGCAATTTCTTCCAGTAATTTGCTAGGATGGAGCGAGGAAATCTCAATCAGAAGATCTAAAATATATCAAATAAATTAAAATATGAATTAAATGAGATAAAGAAAAAGAGCAATTCGCTTACCTAAAACAGCTTGTTGTACTTCTGGATTTTGATCGTCCATATGAAGAAGTAAACCTCCATAAACCGCTTCGAGGTGTTTTGAATACAAACTTACATCATATCCATTAACAAAGCTGTCAAAGTAACTCTTGAACACTTGAGTCATAGTAATTCTTATCTCATCACTTACATCATCCATACGTTTCAGAAATTCAGGATATAAATTATAAATTTTTCTCTCATCAACAGATGGGAATAATATCGGAATGATTTTACACAATATTTTACACGTAAACAAACGTGTAGTTTGAGCTTCATCTTCTAGCAGAGATATTAGAGATGTGAATAAGTCGTTTGCCACCAATTCAACCTATTAATATTCAAATAATGAATTATTATTGCTTTTATAATGATTAAAATTAATTGTACATACAGATATCCTTCAACTTACGACTTCTGGACTTAAAACTACAAATTATATGTTTAGAAAAACTTCATGGCTACAAAAATATCAACGAGTGATGCAAAAGAAGAGAGTTATATTGATATTTTTATATTATAATTCTTTGCTGAGGACTATTAAAGTCTTTTTCAAGCAAAAATATGGTAACGAAGACAAGATGGCATTTATCTTTCTGATTATATTAATTTATTATATTTGCATAAAACTTTAAACATGGTAAAATCCATTAACAGTCAGGTGAATTTGAAACAGTCAAAATAATAGAACAGAATCCTATCACAAGTCAATGGATATCTGTAAATAATAGAAATAATATGATGTATTATTAACTTACGTCTGATGCTTTAACAAGATTCCTGAGTACTAAAGTCCATAAAAATGAGACAGAAGCTGTCCTTATTGCTGTAGCAGTCCTACCGGCATGCCACACTAAGTTTGGAAGAATAATATTGCTAATCATTGTCTTCATGACATTCGATAAATCTACAGTTTCATCTGCTTCCATAATTAATTTGGAGAGAAGCATAAATAGTTTAACACGTAACTCCGGATCCTTTTTGTCTTGAAGATTAGCCAAAAGCAATGGCATAATTTTTTCTAAAAGATGTGTGAACTGCATTCCTTTAAAACATATATATTTATTTTATTTATTAACTATAACATAATTTTAAATAATTATTTATTAAACTTAATTACCAGTATCAGATAAGAGAGTGAAAAACATTAGAAATTCTGGACTATGAATCCCCCACAACTCGTGATTATTTTGTAACTGATCCAAAATACTTTCGGCATGTAAAGAATATAGTTCATCTTTTGAAGACAATCCATCTATAGTAGCAAGATTTTTCATTGCTTCTTGGATCTAACAAAAGAAATATTATATTTATAAAGAAACATCATCTAAACTAGGATAACAATTTATAAAATACTAACTCTTTCATCATAAGTTTGAATTTTTATCAATGCTTTAATCATTAGTAACACTGTAAATAACTGCAGACTGAATTCTTTAGCACCTTCTCTGCAGACATTTAAAATTGCTTCGACACAGGATAGAAGATTAAGCTGTTCTTGAACCTGAAATTAAATAGTTTATATAAATTTACATATGTAAACAGATTATCGTACAAAGTAATATTAATTTATAGAATTATTAATTATCAGTAGTTACAATTATACTATTCACTAGCAACTACATCAATACATAAAGGTAGAAATGAACTGCAAAAATACACTGTGAAATCTTGAGAAGAATATTTCTCAAAACTTGAAGAAGAGATCTCTATAAAATAAAGCTTAATTACTAAGTCAACTCAGGATAAAAATTGCATCATGAATTTAATATCATTGATATTAATATACAGTAGTTTAATTCTCAGTCAATTCTTGTCAAAGAACATCATTCGACAACATTACAGTTTAAGTATAGTAAAAATCATCAAGCTGTTTCCTTAATGGCCAGATAGACAAGACAGCAATATAGCCTCAGCATTTTATTCGGGGCTCAGATTTGTCTCCAGTTAAAAATTTTCATGAAAATTTAAGTGAGTTGACATGGATATTACTCATCACCTAGTTGCTCTCATGCTTGTTGTAAGGCTAGTGTTAACCCTTTCAATGGAAACTTCACTGCTGATGTTCTGTCAACCTGTGTCCTTTTGACTTTGCATTGTTGATGTTCTAAAATTCATTTATAACTTAGAAAAATTCTCAAACAGACAAGAATTTAAGAAAGTGTCTTCTCATTTTGTCCCTTTCACACACCATCAAATGAATATATATTTTTAATTGTTGTTCCATCATCAGAGAAAAGATTTTAATTTGTAATTTTTGTAATTTTGAAATTATGATTAGCATATTTTTTGTTTAAATATAATGATTCTAGAAATACTGGCTTGAACTTAGAATGCCTAAACTTAATTTACAGTATTTAAAAAGCTAATTTACACATATATTTGAAAATCTGGATGGGTCTGGCCCAATCAGTCCATATTTTCAATGCTTTACTGTATTTATAATTATTTTAAAGATGATTAAAACTGATTTGGAACAACTGTGCATTATTATTCAACATGTAACATAAGAAGAATAAAATGCAGTTACTCTAAAACTGTTTAAACTATTCTTAAAATAATCTTAAAATATATTTTGCTTAACTGAGTTTTTGTAACTCCATATTCACATCAAAGAATGATTGCCTAAGCCAGTGGTTCCCAACCTTTTTTATTAGCGTACCCCGTGACATGTCATATCTCTAGATTGTACCCCCTCATTTAAGAAATTTAGTGAGTACCCGTATTGTTAATTTTACATATTGTAACTTTAAATTAAAAGTAAATGAAAAAATGTATAATAAAGTTGTGATTGTTGCAAGGAACATATTTTACCTAATAATTTTTTAATACTATTAGTTTGTGATACATAATATATTATTTTTTCTGCCATAATAACTAACTTTTCTCTGTACCCCTAAACAACCTATCGCGTACCCCTAGGGGTACGCGTACCACAGGTTGGGAATCGCTGGCCTAAGCAATTATTCTATTGTCATTCTATAATACTTAACATAAACTATAATAATAGAATATGATGTACGGTACTGTACATGTATGGAATATATGATGCTATGATGATAGAATGATGACTGTATATAGAATGTATGATGTCTATATAGAGACTATATGATGATAGAGTACGATGTACTGTATAGTATACAATTTATGTTCTAAATATTATCATTTCATAAAAATCATTAGCAAACTTAATTCAGTCAAAATGTACTCTATCAGCATCAAATTAAGGCTAATTACATATGTAATAACAATTTTGATCATAATTGTTAATATCAAAATTAATCATGCATAAATCACTACATATCAAATGAAATACAGTATTTAGCTTCCTAGTAATTCATATTATCATAACTTTTAGATAATATCTAACTAATAATTCAATTTAATTTCTATATAAGATTAGTCACAAATCCACAATAAAAGTTAACTAATATTTTATTATAAAGTAAAATAATTATATTTTTTTATTCTACCTGAAAACTCCTACAAACATCAGATTGAGCAAGTGCATTGCAAACTTTATCTAGTTCACTTTCTAATAATTTCTTTTGACTTCTTTTAATTAAGCAACTTAAAATAAGAAGATTACCAGCCGATGGAAGAGAGGTTATCGTTGGAAGAAGAATTTTGATCCAATCATTGGGTTTTACAAAATATCCTAATAATTCTGCACTTTGTGAAATCTAGAATAAATTTTAAAATATTTATTATAAAGAATTTACTTTGGTTTTATTTTGTGTAACATTCCAAAAACAGAATTCAGCTTACCATTTTAATGACTTCTTTATTTTCATCTTTTGAAATTTCTGCCATTTTTGTGAGAATACGCTCCAGATACATAGTAGCATTTTCCTCCATATGTAGCAATAGTAAATATAACAATTTTGCTGCTTTTACTCTTACAGTTTCAACCCAATCTCCCAAATCATTTATAACTGCAGGCAAAATATTACAAAAATGTTGATGTACGAGAAGTCGGCAACCGACAGTTGGACGTTGAACTAATAACACAAAAATTAACTTTAATAAATTCCCAAATTTAAAAATATTTTGTTAAAGAAAATGAAAATATATTAATAAGGTGTTTTTCAAACTACAGGGTCTTCCAAAATGAACATTACCATTTTAAATTACTACTGTATTTTTCATGGACTGTCTGGCATGTCAGTCTATCTGGGAGAGAGAATGAAATCAGATATTTCCGTATTGCAAAAACCAGCAAGCCAGTTTAAATGAGGTTATACACACCTCTCTACAGGGAACATTAAAAAATCCCAACGAATTTTTATTCTAAAACTGTGAAACTGTCAGCAATACATCAAAAACTACAAATATATGTTTAATTTCTTATTTTATATTCTTTCTAATAATGTAAAACACTTGTAGAATGCTGAAAGTGCTTTTTTTTGTGTTTATTTTATTGTAATTTGACTGATTAATTTTATTGTTTAGTCGCAGTTTAACTGGCATGCCAATAACCCTGAGAGTTTCGAGCATGCTGGTCAATCTATAAAAATATGGTATAATAATGTTAATTTTTATCTAAGAAGTAAGCAACATGTGCCAATAGGTAGAGTAACTGTCCAAGTTTCATCTCCTCTCTGCATTGAAAATGCATTGTAATCTACTGCCTCTAGAAAGCACTATACACGAAAATGGCAACTCCACAACAGAGAAAGCATTTCATGTTCTGCAGTTTGCAGAGTCAGACTTGCTCATCATTGTGTGATACAAGTAATCTGCAGGAGCCTTAAAATTGTAGCTGCCATGAGAGGAGACAACAAATATGCCATAGTGAGTGTAGGAAGAATTTGAGTGTTGATCAAATATGTTTGCATGATAAGAAATGCAAACATTGAGGAACGGTAATGGGCAAATGTGAAACTTTGACAGTTTTCCAATGTTTTAATGTATGCTATGATGTTCTCAGAAAATAATTAACATGATTACAAAAATTTTAAATGTAGCATCCTTTTTGGAAGACACTGTATTTGTTATAACAAAAAAAAAAAAATACTTTAATGAAATTAAAAAATAAACATTGAGCTGTCCTTCATGAGCTTTCAAGTATCAAAACAATGATAGGATGACAGGGTCATTTAATAATATACAGTTAAATAGTAATAGAATGTAACAAATTTGTTGCTCAAAGTTACAACAAAGTAAATGGATTTGCTATTTTCAGTCTCTTTTGCAACCATGTTCAATTATAGATACAATTCATATGATACTTAAACAACTCAATATTTTATATTTATCATGTTTTAACTCTATTAATTACAGGGTGTTTAAAAAGTCACTTTGCAATAGAAAAGTTTTATGCACAGTATTGCAGTTTCTCCTACAGCCCCAAAATGGAGGGAGCGAGGTCAACAGACTTAGCAAGCCAGATTCCATGGGAATTATGCAATTGGTGAAGACATCTTCCAAAACTGGAAGCAGTAACACCATTTATCACAAAATGGAAACATTAAGCATACAACTTACGGGTCTTGTATGCAATGACATACATATAACTTTAATGTCATTACAAATTTCTAACTGCACAATAATTCTTCAGACACCCTGTAATGTTTTTGGTAAATCTTCATGTTCATTCAAACAAAAATGTTCAATTTACCTCCTTCTGGATAATGAGATGGAAATTCTCTCTGAAAATCTAAGAGGTCTTTATGCTTTGATTCATTCTCTTCCTCATATTGTTTTCCAGCTTTCTCCCAAAGGGATTGAGCTTCTTCTCTATATTACATGTTCAATAAATTATAAAAATGAAATAGACATAGTATAACTTCTAAATGACACTCTACCTTATTTCAGGAACTTCATCTGTTAAAGATGTTAAGAAAATAGGGATTAGCTTGGTAAAGTACGAATAACGATCGTGTAATTCGCATAGCCACTTTCCTATGATCGTAGTGATTGCTAATCGAACAGATGATGATTCACTTAATAACTGCTGTGCCAATGATGCTCTCACATCTTCAATAGATTTATTATTTCCATATTGTATTACTATACCTAAAATGTAAATAAAAATCAAATTAAAAACCATAGTCCAAAAAATTATAAAAATATTTCTTCTTCAGCAAAATAATGTTGCAGGAGAATGATTAATAAATGATAATGCTGCCTTCTTTGGCATTATTAATCCCATTTTCTGTGGGGTTGCTGCTCTTTACCAATTCAACTTCATTTTATGGCTAGTTACTGTTGCAAATCCTCTCTCTTTAACCTGGACTTACAACTAGAGTCACTAAAATACAGTTGTTCTGGTTAGTTGTAATATAAAGAAAATTTAAAGAATTTTAAAGAATATGTCATGATTTATCCAAGTACTACTGGATTAATTAAGCCATAACTTGGTAATTAAATATATAAAGTAATTTGGAAAAAGGTAGTAGTAAAGGTAAGCAATTAAGCTGTTATTCTGTATTAAATTAACTGATAAAATTAAATCAATTAATTTAAATTATTATAAAGGTCAATTCAAAGTGGAAAAACTTGCAACTCCTACTTATTATAGACATGTTGCCAATTAGATCACCTGAACCTCCCAGATCCAAATTTATCAGATCAAGCTATGGCCTGATAAATCTGGCAGTATCATTTAATTTATAATTCAGGCTTAGTCTACTGTATAAAATATATTTATGTAAAATTTTATTGACATGTGCAATGTATTTATAGAATGGACTATAAATAAGTTTACAATTTTATAGCTAGATAAAATGGCAAAATATTATTTATTATTATTGGATATTCAAAAAACATTGGCAAGACGAGGCAACAAATAGTATGCAGCGACTGAAGGAAACATTTCCCATTCATGTGTTTTCACAGTAAAGTGGATTGGTCATCAGATTATCCCAGATTTCTTTTTCTGAAAATATGCTAATGAACAAATTTTTATGTCTAAGGCAAAGATCATTGAAGAATTGATGGCAGAAATTATATACAAAATATCAAAGAAAACCACTGAAGCGATTAACTGCAATTAGACATTGCATGGAGCACAAGGGAAGGTAAATTGAACATGCTTCTGATGCCTCGATCGAGACTTCCTAATTTGTGACTATACAGTGGCGTAGCGTGGGTGTCAGCCGCCCGGAGCAGAGGAAAATTTTGCCACCCCCTTATTTAGGTATCTCAATTTAAAAGACTAAAATTTAGTTTCATCACAAAATAAGTAATGAGAAATTCCGTGCTCATTTCAATTGGTCCGAATTGTAGGTACGACAAAAATATGAAATGAAATGGTTCAAATTTTTACAAGATATTATTATTATTTATTGTGAAATTTTGCTGCCCCCTAAAAGTGCCACCAGGGGCGGGCCGCCCCTGACGCCCCATTACGCTACACCACTGTGACTATAATACATCCTTGTACATCATTTAAATAAAACTTCACTGTGTATTAATTCTGTAAACTTATTTATGGCCCACACCATAAAGGCATTTGATCGTTTTCCTTACCAATAGCTTTAATCGTGACTACCCTAACTTTCGAATGCTGATGTCCTAACGTTTGGAGAAGCGGTTTGATAAGTCTCTCTGACTGCATATGAAAGTGGGAAGGAACCGCAACAGCTAACTTCATAACGCACAGACAAGATTCTTTCTTGACTTCATGATACGCATCCGTAATCGTTTTACTGAATATACAAAGTAAATCATCTAAGTACGGCACGAGGTGATCTCCACACTTCTCTATTAAAATATTCAATGTTTGTATCTGCAGTAAACGAACTTCTTCGGAAGTTTCTATAGTTTCTGGACAACCCAACCTTTGAAGAAACACAGGCACAATGTAACTCAGCAAATCTTCAGGAGAGTTTGAAAAATTAATAAAATCGTAAATTATCTCGGTTGCTATCTCTCGACAACGTTCTGAAGGGTCGTGAAAGCACTTTAAAATCTGTTTATAGCTCTGAATGACAACTTTCTGATAATCCTCTCTGTCAAGTTCTTTCTGTTTGATTTTCATCTCTTTTTTCATTTTTTCAAGCGTTTTCTTCCTCACGGCCTTATCAGAATCTCTCAGAAAGTTAAACTCTCGGTTATTAATATTTTCGCAGTCGGACGCCATTTAAAAACTGTAAAATAAACGATTAAACTGGCAAAAAAACCAGTTAAGTCTAACGCACAATACCTTAACAACGTGATAACAATTTGGTCGCTGAGCGATTTCAGTGTTGCCAACTCGAAATTAGAATTTATATCGAGATTTTTCAATAAAATAAAATAAAATAAAACAGCCAAATCGTATTTTTTCAGTATAATTATTTAATTTTTACAGCTATATAACATTTTAAAAATAACTAAACCATTATAATACTTAAATCCATTAAATACTGTATACCTAAAAATTAGGCATGACGCGACAAATTTTCGGTTATAAAAATAGCCAAAAAAAAGTATATACAGTATATAATAAAATTAGTAATTTATCGACGAATTAATATTAATACTTTTTTGTAATATAAAGAAAATTAAAGTATTAATATATCGTTAAAATAATAAAATTAGAAAAGATTATTAACGACGGAAGTTGGCAGCGGTCGTGTTTTGTATATCATCAAGATGGCGGCTTATTTGTGTATGAGTGGAATGAAGTTCGGAGTCGGAATGAACGTCAATAACGTCGAAAATTCTGCATGGAATTCGATGAATTACGGTAAAAGCAGAACATTAACGCCGATATCGACGGGTACTTCTGTTATAGCGATGGAATTCGAAGGGGGAGTCGTGATAGCAGCTGATACACTCGCCTCCTATGGATCCACTGCAAGATTTCGCGACTGTGAAAGATTAATGAAAGTTAATGATAATATAATAATAGGAGCTAGCGGCGATTATGCAGATTTTCAATTCATACGCTCCGTCATCGAAGATAAGATAATCGAAGAAGAAAGCTACCACGATGGATTCAATCTCAAGCCAAAGTCATTGCTAAATTGGTTGACAAGAGTCCTGTACAACAGGCGTTCGAAATTCGACCCCCTCTGGAACACCGTCGTGGTCGGAGGACTGCAGGACGGCGAGCCATTCCTGGGTCAGGTCGACATGATCGGAACGTCTTTCGAGGCTCCCACCGTGGCCACCGGTCTCGGCTTGCACATGGCCCAACCCATTCTGAGAGGGTACTTCGAAGAGAGAGGAAGAGGTTCCAAGCAAGAAGCTAAGGATAAAATTCAAGAATGCATGACCACTCTCTTTTACAGAGATGCCCGGGCATTCCACAGTTATCATCTCGGAGTCGTTACCGCGGAGGGCGCCGACATCGAGGGACCTCTTAAAGTGAATCCGAACTGGGAGATTGCGTCTTTTAAGAGACTAAATTAACGTATCGTGGCATATTTTTGTGTAATTTTTCAAAATTTTGTTTATTTTTAATCGAAAATTATGTAATCTCACATTTTGCCAATATTAAAAGTTACTTGAAAATTACTCCGTTTTTGTAATGTTTTCATAATGATTTATTTGTAGAGATAAATAAGTCCAATTACAAATACATATAACAAGTTGAAATTTTAGTTAAATAAATTCTTAAGCTTTAATAATTGAACTATGTTTCTTATTATATTTACTTCTTATATTGTTAAATTATGATTACATTCTTAAATGACATGTGATGTAATATTTAAGTATATAGACATTCATTACTAATTTTCTTACACTTTAACATAGACAGAATCATGAGAACATTTAAAATTCTTGACTTGTTCACTATATGGTCAAATTGTATTATCTATGATGTGCATTCACTTATTTTGTTGATCTACTCAGTGCTATATATTAAAGTATAACTCAAATTTGTATTTAAGTTTCTAGCAGTCTGAAATTTTAGAGACAGGAGGCATAAAATTAAGTAGTACAGATTATGAGGTTATGTAATTCTGTCTAGCAAGGATGATGGATTTATTTTCATCAAGACTAACAAATTTGATCATTATTCATAAGCGTATATGACAAATTTGTTCATTTATTTGGCTTATCAATTAAAAAACAATCGGAAAATACCTTAAGTTATTCTACTCCAACTTTAAATCTGAAAAATGGACTGCTGTAATTGGAGAATTTCATGTATGCAGAACCAAGCACTTTGTCTTGTGCTCCCTCCTTGCAGTGTGTTACTTTAGAAAGTAAAATACTTTGTTCTAAACACGTGAAAACATTAGTTTTCACATTTGCATAAATTCTTTAAAATCATCATTGGTTATTATAAATAGAGTGCATTTGTTATCTCTAAACTTATTTATTTGAAAGGGCTTACTTTAATTAAAAATTTGATATTTTATAAATATAATAATTTCCTTGTAAAGTTTCCTAGTAAATACATTCTTTTCTTCTGTTATTTGCCCACTGGTAGCTGAGTACCTGAATACTGGGTCGTGGGTTCACATCTGATCAAGATGACTGTGTAGTTTACCAGGTTTCTTTGTATGTGTAACACTTAAATGGGAGGCTGTAGGAAATCTCTAGCGTCATTCCTTTCTGTGGCAAACTACATTTGCATTGGCTTATTCTGTCAATCTGATGTAATCTTCCGTTATTCGACTTTATTACATTTATTGATTGCCAGATGAAAGTGTAATTATGATTGCATTTTATCTAAAATATAAATGTTTTTATTTGTATTTACTTCAATTACATTACAGAACAGACAAATTCTCTATGGAAGAGACTGTGTCCTGAATCCTGGCCCAACACAAACACTCGGGTTGCATTCAAAACTTTAAGCAGGATCAAGTCAAAGAAAGAAAAGAGGACATTAGGAAAATAGTCATTTTTAATCTTGTTTATTTTATAGTCACGAAACAATTGTTATTAAAATATCATTATCGGCTTGACAACTCAGAGTGGGTCTTGGCCTTCCTATGCAATCTCCAGGCCTCTATTTCATTAAAATAAGCTAGCGCAACAACATAAATAAAAGTATATGCAAAACTAATTACAATTGCTTCACATTACACAGCTCATTTGGATATATCACAATAATTTTTGTCTTCCAATTATAAAAGTGCTATATAAACATTATCTAGCCAATAATGGAATGTTTTATTGCACCATCTGACATATTGCTTGATTTGATTTGTTTCCCTAATGTGCAACATAGCAAAGGGCTACTGTATTTTAAATGAATAATTATTGTTAATAATCTTAATTTTTAGTACATTCCTACATGTCTAGCATAATGAATTGGTATAATGCAGATAACCTGTATTTTGCTGGCCACTTAACATTTCGGCCCACCTCTCCAGGGTACTCTAAAACAAATCCAGACAGGAAAAGAACACTGGAAATTTTTTTGAGCAATCTGTCTTGGACATGTTGGGCTCCATTCTTCACCATCTGGTTGCAAGTGATGATGATGGTAATGTGACATGCATCCAAAAAAGTTGATTTAATAATCAAGTTTGCATTGGTATAAAAAAGTACAGAACTGCTGCTTCCATGCATTTTGCAAAACATACATTTTGGCTCCTACTGAACTCTTGCTTGCCCACCCCTGGTATAGTACATACAGACCATAGAAATTCTAATGTTTCTGATAAATTTTTTGCAATGTTTAAAGTTACAATGCCATAATGTTGTTAAATGCAAAAAAAAAAACTTTTCAGGAGAGGTAAAAACACTTTTTCTAATGAATGAATTCATTTCAATTTTACAATAAAATGGTAAAAAAAAAAACTAGATTACAAATTCTCTGCAATATCAAAATGATGTAAATATAAGCCATAATGTTTTAAGCACCAAAAATTACGACTTACACTCTGGCACTTTAAACATTATATCTTCATATAAATTCATCTTCAAAATACAGCCACAATATTCTTTTGCGGCAGAAAACATTGCATTTAGAATTCAATTCTTCAATAAAACATATTTAGAGAAAAATGGCATTTACGTTATGGCATTGCACGCTTCATTTATAATTTGCTCTATTCAGAATTATTGAAATCTCCATGCCAGCCCTACCAGTTAAATATATTGACAAATTCAGTGGACAATGGATAAATTTGGATTAATAGAATTAAGATCCAACCAAAGGTAATTTCTTCAGCCAAACCCAAACTTAAGTTTTTCTGTCAGCTTATGCCAAGGCTGAAGAAATTGCATAATGCTAAAGATCTTTTGTTTTGTCACTTGTTAGCTTCTGCTACTACTAATGTGTGCACAGAATTGCATCTAGATAATTAGGTATTAAATGAACCTTTGATTTTGGGGAAACCTCCTGCAATTTTGGCCAAAGTCAAAGCTGATTATTTGGTCAGACTCTACATAGAATGTGGATCTAACATGCTATAGCTTCCTAAATTAATCCCAAACTTAATTATGGAAGAGAATATTTCTCAACTCAATCTTACAACAGTTAGAAACTTGAAAATTAATAACTATTGGAAAATGGTTTAACGACTTCAACATTGATACGAAAGATAATGCCCAGAAGAATGTGGTAAAGATTAAAATTTGTACAGTGTGTCTTGTTTTCTCAACTCTAAGAGAAAATCAGACATTGGATTCATCTCAATTTATTCACTTCTAATTGGGGCATTATTTTTTACATAAGATCAGACCCTACATAGAATATGTATCTAACATGCTATAGCTTGTAGCATGTAAGGCTTCCCCCTGCTACAATAAAATTATTCCTAATAAAAACAAAACTGAGAAACTGTTTTCTAAAAATAAAAGTCTAAATGTTGAAGGATCATTTATATGAGAAATATTATATTAAACATTATAATCGTTGGCATTGATCACACTTAAATTGACATAAATGTATATAAATTAATATTGCATATTCTGAGAGAAGATTAATCTTCTCTAAGTTACATTTAATAGTTGTATGAATTAAAGATATATTTACAAAATAAATAAAATTTTTATTTGTTCAAATAATTTTATTGCAATCATGAGCATATAAGTCCATACATTATGAATTTAATATATTTACATAATAATAATAGAGTCAATCAGCCAGAACAACCTCTACAGCCACAGTGGACGCATTCTACAATTTTTCCCTATAAAATTAAAAAAACAAAAATGAATAAGCAATTATTTAATTAATAATAATAAATATACAATAGTTTATTAATTTCTNTATTGAATAAAAATCTATTCCATTAGTTACTGGTTTAGATGAAATTAAATGTATTAAGCATTTAAATTATCACAGTATAATAAAACTGATGTTACCTAATTCATTTTTTTAATAAATTGGATAAATTGAACTAAAGGTTAATTAATTATTTAGAACCTGTTGGAAAATGTCAAACAGTAATTACTGATTCTTTTAAATAAATAAATTTCTATTATTCCTCAATAAGATGAATTATTTAATAAGGTAAATTTCTTGTTTGGAATAAATGTTTGTTGAGTTTATCTTAAGAAGAATTGACTGTATATACTTTTGTAAGAAAAGAATAAAAATGGATAAAATAATAATAGAATTTTATTATAATTAAATAGTAAAAATGCATTTTGAATCTTTGTTTTTCCATTTTTTTAAAATAAATGTACTATTTATCAAATCTATGATCACTCAAGTAGTGATTTGTAATTAAATTTCAGTTTGAACGTTGCTTTAATTATAATCAGAGCTCATTTTCTGTTAGAATGTGCTGGTATCCCTATCTGGTAAGCTAGGGATGCCAGCAAATTCTAACAGAAACAAAAACATACTTACTCGTGCTTCTAACTGGTGTGTAGAAATACAAAAATAAATAATTTTGTAAAAACAAACAAAACTCATTTTCTAACAGAAAATGAGCCAGTAAATTTATAGAAAATGAACAGTATAGATTTGTTTTTACTGAGCAACTGCTGATACAATATACCAGCAGTTGCTCAGTATAAACAAATCTATATGTTCAATCACCATATATGTGAATTGGCAGTACAGTAGATCCCCCTATAAGATGGGTTCCTATAATTATGATTCCTATAAAACTGCGAAAAAATTGTGGCAGTATCCGTAAACAACGGTAAAAAAACTCCTATAATTATGTAAAACGTCATCAGGCAGCCGAACTATTTTCTGCCGTCCAGCGCCACGCTACAGACAGTTTAGGCGGGTAAATTGAGTTTAGTATCGTCTTTACATATAATTATATATAAATTATATATAAATTAGGTACTGTATATATAATTNTAATTTATTGTAAAATAATTATAATTATATATATACTTTCCACAGTCCAGCGCCACGCTATGGAGAATTTAGGCGAGTAAGTTGAGTTTACTATCATCTGTACAGTATGTAAATTAGGTACCGTAAGTCTAATACAGTACTGTAATTTTATACATTTCTTGTGAAAGAAACATTTCTTATTCAACTGCAATTAAAATTACAGTGGGTGATCGGTTAACGAACAGATCGGATAATGAACACTTTCGCGAAAGATTTTTATGATCGGACAACGAACACTTCACTGAACAAACACAAGAAGAAGCGCGTAAATAACGAATACTGATTGGTCTTCCTTTGTCTCAGGCAACAATTCGAAACTCTTCAGAGTGCAGGAGACGTCGACAACAACGTTCTACCCAGTATATACTGATCGAATAGTATTCCCCCGAACTTTGAAACTCTCCCTTGTAATTCCAGCCTTTTATATTTCTGACAGAAACAATTATTTTACGTTTTCTTCTGAAAATACGGATTTATGCCGATATCTGCTATTAAAGATCTTTTGAAGAAGTGGGAGGATGTCAGAACAACGGTCTTAAAATGGCATCCAAACCAGGTTGAGGTTAATAGGCCTATAGATCTCTACAATTACAATGCTATTAATTACTTCTGAAAAATCATGAAGACAGAAAAGCAATTGACATTGGACAGATTCTTTAACCCCCATAAACGGAAAAACACGACTAATAAAAATGCAAGCCTGTGTATATATGTATTTTTATTATTACATGTGAATAAACGTAGTAAGAAAGTATATATATTTTTATTTTTTGGGGGTCTCCAGAATGAATTAATCAAATTCCCATAGAAACCTATGGTAAATCAATAATTAACGAACAATTCGGATAGCGAACAAAGTCTTGGAACGGATTATGTTCGTTAACCGATCACCCACTGTATTTATATTAATGATGTCTTGAAAGTTCAACGAAGTTTTCGCAGAAAAATAACATCAGAAATCGCAGCCACGGTTTGCTGTGCTGTTCCGCGACAAAAACAAGCTTGACCAACGGCGATGTCGAATGGTGCTCACTCGGTAAGTAATCCTACAATTTTTTGTTTATAGCGTAGTTTATACAGATTATTTCCAAAAAAAATATACGTATTTTGGAAATGTTGAGTCGGATTAGTCTAGAATCGATTAATTTTATGGAAGAAAACCTTTCAAACAGCCGTAGTCCGTAAACTTCACACGTGTCAGGCTGTGATTCCTACAAAATTGATTCATAAAGAACGGAACGTATCTACCATCTTATAGGGGGATCGACTGTAATTGTTTTAGAAAAAGAACACTGATTATATTAATGTGAAAATTATTGAGCAGAACAGAAAATATCTTTCTGATCATCATATTAATCATTTAATTTTTATGTTTTCTAAACTAAAAATATGATTTTTCTTAAAAATATAACAACAGGATATAAAAAAATACTTATTTCCTGTTATCATTTCATTTAAAATTAAATTATGAAGATATTCAGCTGTTAACAGTATATGACAAAAAAACTTAAGAAATTAGTCAAGTTTTGTTTAAGTATATGACTTAATTTTAGACTGAGTTTACTTTTCCTTTTATATGTTGTTCAAAAATATTATCTATGTAGTATATTGAAACTTTTTCTTGTTAAGAATTACACATACAAATTCAATTGTAGTGTTAATATGTACTGTACTGTGCTGTATTTTTGTGGCGACTATGGATATGTTGCCTAGTGAAGCAACTTTAATACAGTTGGATAAGCATACCAATAACATAGCTCATTTGATTTAAAACAGACTGCATCATTGGTTTGCTTAACCAGCTATATTAAAGCTGCTTTCTAAGCTACATGCTCTATATTCATTCTGAACGCAATTAACAGTAGTTTCACTTGTATGTTTTTCTCACTTATACAATATTGAAAAACTTATGAACAAGATTAGATTGTATATCCTGAATATAAATTAAAGCTTGCTACAAATAATAAATATAAAACTGAACATTTTTCCATGTTATGCCAGTGTTTTACATAATTAAAAGAAAAAAAAATTCCTCCAAATAAATATGCTTTAAAAAAAATCATTGATCAGAAAATATATTGAATAAATAAATATTTTCAATACTTTCTGTTCATAATCTTAAAATATACTTTTAAATAACACATTTACGTTCATATGCATTTCTCCAACTTTACCCACAGTTAAAAATGTATTAGACATCTTATTTTCTTTATTATCTACTACTAACCTGAATTAATTGCCTTCCTTTTGTGATATAGATCAAAAATGTAACGAGACTTTTGATGATGAATCTTAAATATCGGCCAAAGAGATTCTACTTTTCTTTTTCCATCATGAGGATCACTTTCAGCTACAAAACAAAAATTTATCAATAAAAATAAAAATCAATAAAAACTTTTCACCAAACTTTACTAGTGAAAATGAAAAAGGATCATCTAGAACAGAGGTCAGCAACCTATGGGATGATTTTCAGTGGCACTGATTGAATAGAAATGTTGTAAAAATTATGTTTTAATTATTAATTACACATTTAAATGGAAGTCATAATTCAGTGTAGGCCATGGTACATTAAAAATGAATCTCTTGCTTGTATATTTGTATTACAGTGCACATGTTTATGCTCTGTGTCATCATCTATGTGCTGTGCATGCACTTCACACATAAGAGCATAATTCGATTAACAACTTAACTTCAAAATTATATATTTTTGAAGTCCATTATAACCAGACCAATTTTGAAAATATATATAACAAAATTGGTAGAATCATCTTGATATCCAAAATAACACTAAAACTTAGATTCAGTACAATATTGCTGAAAGGTTGCAGATTCCTGATCTAGAAGAAGAGCTAAGTGTGTAAATAAATTTTTTTAAACATTATCAATCAAAACCAAATTCTATTGTATTGTATTGCATTGGGCTAGAATATGGGCAATTATTAATTAGCCATACTGTAGCCCAATATGAATTTGGATGTATTATTTGATTAATAAAGTAATTTGGACTACAGGTAAACAATTAAGTTGCCATCTTGTATTAAATTTAATAACTAGAATTAAATTAATTTGAAGACATAGTCTGTCTGAAATTGGTAACTACCATTTATTCACTTCTTATATTCCAGAATACAAAAAATTGACGACCTACCTTTCCTTTTAGGTTGCTTGGCCGTCAAGTTTAAAAACATTCCTTTAATTTTCATAAAATTGCCATCCAACAAATTCTACAATTGAAACTTTTGCAAAGATTCGTCACCAGAGGGAGGCTATGAAAATCTACATTTACCAGCACATTTTCCTTTATGTCTAAAATTTAAATTTCATACAGATTCTGAAATTCTCTTGATGCTTGTGGGGTCATGACAAAATTGGTAATGTCAAAGTAACAGCATTTATTGCTATTGTTTGTAATCTTTATAAGCTTTTACAATTAGTGTTTCAAAAATGCTTCCAAAGCATAATAGTAAATCTAGCAGTGGAAATGCAAGAAGGACATTAAACTGGACATTATAAAACTAGTGCATTAGATGAAAAAACATTTTAAGCACCTACTACTAAGCAGTATCCAGCAGGTAAACGAGCATAATGTATTCCATTAACTACATTGAAGGATCAAACACACAAGAACAAACAATAAATATTTATTCTGTGTAGAAATGTACTTTTTGGGTACAATTACACCTCTGAATGAGATGGTCAGAACTGTATCAAGGCCATAGACAGGAACCATAAGAGCAAAATGTCAAAAGAACCACAACTCCACAAGAGCAAAAATGTCAAAGGCACCATATCTCTACACATGACTCTCAGTGAGATAGTCACCCTAAATCAGGTCATAACGATCACAAGTCATGTCACTCCACTAAGACTATCGTGTTTAAGCTATTTAGCCCAGGCAACTATACCAGTTCCAAGTTGTCCACTCGACCATTAGTGGTGAACTTGACATTATATAGTTTTAGGTGCTGTGGGGACAGGGGTGCCCATGCATTGGGGCACATGTCCCCATTATCGTCTATGTTGTTTTTTCCTACTTCCCAAGTGGAGCACAATTTCCATTATCAACAAACAACAGAAAATTCAAGACTTCTAGCCTATACAGAAAACATAAAAGGACAAATATCGTTCATCAATTTCATTGTTCCACTCAATTTTGTTTCACGTTGACCAAAACTTGGCCTTGAAAATAAGGAATGTTCCTTGTTTTCAAGGCCAAGTTAGCCCTGATTGCAACCAGTGCCACCTGTCTAGTGTGATGATCTGACATTAAATCATAGTCTGATGCCTTTTGAATAAGTATGATGCCTTTTTTATAGCTTATGCCCTACCTTTTGTATAGCATATGGGTGCTGCCACATGGGGGCTTGCCCCACATGGGTGCTTTGGTGGGAACAATTGCAGATGTGAATAACACTGCTGGAACTTAACAGAGCTATACAGCGTGTCCGTAGCAGCAAAAAAGTCAAAGAAACCATACCTCTAGATATGAACCTTCGTGACATATAGTCCCCCGAAATCAGCTACACAATTGCAATTCGCACCACACACTCCACTAAGACTACTGCATTTAATTATTTAGCCCATGCAACTATGCTGGTTTCAAGTAGCCCACTTGACTGTTCATGGAGTACTTGATGTTATAGGTACTGATCTCAGTGGCTTTAACATAACTTGTTTGCAAGCATAACATCCACAAGCGAGATGGCAACTGGAACTGCTGCCATTGTGTTCCTCATTTGGAGGCAAATATCCTGCAAAGGGTCGGGTGTCAGACTTTTCTTTATTCTTTGCTAATAAATATCATTAGAATATCTGATCATCGTGCTGTACCGACTGTTAAACACACAATATGCTTAGTGGAGCACACAGCATAACTCCCTATAGTGCTTGAAAGTAGGCTTTCGGCTGATTTTGAAGAGCTATACCTCACAAGGGGTAACATTTAGAGGTATGGTTCTTTTGACTTTTTTGCTCCTACAGCATGCTCTACAGCTCTGTTAAAGTCCCAATGGCATCATTCACATCTGCAATCTTACCATTTGGCAAAAGTGATGGCGAGCACCAAAGGGCAAACTATGTGTGGTGCGGAACACGGAGAATAGATAGTATACCAGTACGTGGTAAAAACCAACATTTGGAGGCGAATATCTCGCAAATGATCGCATATGCAGAGACAGTTCCTTTGACTTTTTCACCCACACAGGGGGTCTACAACTCTGGGATGGGTGGGAAAACCCTCATTCAGAGTCCACGGATATATTTATTGCACTCGAATAAGCTTTCATCTAGAAAAGAATTTTTCACAGATACATTATATATAATATATTTTTTGAAAAATTATCATGTAAGTAACATTTTCCATTTAATTTTCATTAATTCACGTGCTAATTTCAGTTAGAATTATCGAGAAATGATCTGAATTATTGCACAATAACACATAACAGGTCGTCTGGCTCTTAATCGTTAAATACGTACCTTCTCTCATTTTCTGTTCTAATTCTTCGATAGTCGGTTCGATTAATTCCCAACCTTCCGGCGGGGGTTTTCTGCTTCTTCGAACTTTCGGCATTTTTTCTTAATTTCTTACTTTTTGACAAACGAAATCCAATGATATAGAAGAATTGTAAACAGTCGTTTGTTAGAAGAAACTGTCGGCTTCCGAAAAACTTAACATTAGTTTCACGCCAAAATATAGCCGCTGTAATTATTTT